CCTCCTCAGAAGAACTGGAGGCAATGTCTTCAACATGTGTTGAGATATCTTCATCATTATCATCAGACTCTTCCCTTGGCACAACTGCACTATTGGTGCCATTATCAGAACTGTGAGGTGGATCAATGCGAGCAAGAGGGGTGGAGATACCGCGCACCATACGTCCTTTCTAGAGAATTTTCGTGACAAGTTCCCTAATGGATCTATCAACATATGCAGAACCTTCCCTGTTTTTCATTCTAGCAAAGTCTTCAACAGTGGGAGAAGAATTACCTTGGGAGTGTTGATTGGAATTTCCAGCTTTAGGAGATGCCGTACCAGGAGCATCTTCAGAGGATTTGGGATGGTTCTTGGATGGAGAAGCATCTTGATTGAAGGATATTTTGATGTTGATAAGAGAACAATTGAAGAAATGAGGCGTATTCTGAAGAGTAGGCAAAAAAGAGATAATTATAGGTATAGTGAGATAACACGATTGCGTGGAATAGGGAGCTTTAGTGGTCAATGGCGTTGAATACATTAAAGTTGGGGGTTGGAACAAGTTTTCCCCAATAAGACGTATTTTAAACTGAAAACTCCCTCTTTCCAGTAACTGCTATAAGTCCTCACACATGCATATTCCCAACTTTCCTCTTAGATTCTTGAATTGAGCAGCATCTAGTGCCTTTGTAAAAATGTCAGCTAGCTGTAGTTCCGTGGCCACATGCTCCAGGGTAATCACTTTGTCTTCCACAAGGTCTCTTATGTAGTGATGTCTGATATCAATATGCTTGGTTTTGCTATGCTGAATTGGATTCTTAGAAATATTGTTACCATTAAGATTGTCACAATACAATGTCATGACATCCTGAATGACATTGTACTCAGTCAACATTTGCTTCATCCAGACCAGTTGGGAACAACTGCTATGTATTCAGCTTTTGCAATGGATAGGGAGACACAATTTTGCTTCTTGTTGAACCATGATATGAGGTTGTTCCCCAAGAAGAAACATCCACCAGATGTGCTTTTTCTGTCATCAGCACTCCCAGCCCAATCAGCATCATAATACCCATATAAAATAGGGGCACATCTATGAGAATACAACATACCATAATCACAAGTTCCATTCACATATTTGAGAATCCTCTTGACTTGGTTTATGTGACTCACCTTAGGATCTGCTTGATATCTAGCACACACACCAACTGCAAATGCAATATTAGGTCTACTGGTTGTTAGATATAACAAGCTTCCAATCATACTTCTATATAAGCCTTGGTCAACACTCGTGCCACTATCATCTTTAGTTAACTTCAGATGTGTAGGTGCAGGTGTCCTTTTGTGACTCGCACTATCCATGCCAAACTTTTTGACTATGTTTTTGGCATATTTACTTTGGGATAGAAAAATAGAGTCTTCCATTTACTTAACTTGCAGCCCAAGAAAGTATGTTAGTTCTCCACACAAGCTCATTTCAAACTCAGATTTCATTTGATTGACAAACGGTTTAACCATTCTTTTAGACATTCCACCAAACACTATGTCATCCACATAGATTTGAGCAATCATGAGTATTCCGCATTCATCCTTCACAAAGAGGGTCTTGTCTATCCCTCATTTACTATACCCATTAACAGTGAGAAACTCAGTCAGTCTCTCATACCAAGCTCTAGGAGCTTGTTTTAATCCATAAAGAGCTTTCCTTAATTTGTATACATGGTTTGACAGGTTAGGTTCAGCAAATCCCTTGGGTTGTCCCACATATACTTCCTCATTCAAATATCCATTTAAAAAGGCACTTTTCACATCCATCTGAAATAATTTGAACTTTAGAATGCAAGAAATCCCTAACAACATTCTTATTGACTCAAGTCTTGCCACAGGTGCAAAAGTTTCATCAAAATCAATCCCTTCAACTTGAGTATAACATTGTGCCACCAGTCTAGCCTTGTTTCTGGTTGTAACTCCTTTATCACTGGATTTGTTCTTGTAGATCCACTTGGTGCCAATGATGTTTGTTCCTTCAGGTCTTGGAACCAATTCCCACACTTCATTCCTTTTGAACTGTTCTAATTCATCTTGCATAACATTGATCCAATATTCATCAGTTAGAGCCTCCTTCACATTTTTGGGTTCAATCTTGGATACAAAGCATGAATTTGAGATGATTTCTCTAGTTCTGGTCCTTACACCACTGTTAGGGTCTCCAATGATAAGATATTTTGGATGATCTTTAAGGATTCTGATAGAAGGTTCTTTGTTGGGAGCTTCTGACTCAGAGTCTGGAGTTACAGCTTAAGGATCTTCAGTATTGACCATAACATCAGTAGGTGTCTCAAGGAATGTTCCAACATCCTCCATGACATTGGTTTCTTCATGTTGATCATCAATAATCACATTGATGGATTCCACCAAGACTTTTGTTTTGGAGTTGAATACCCTATATGCTCTTCTGTTAGTAGAGTATCCCAGGAATATGCCTTCATCACTTTTGGGATCCATTTTTCTCCTTTGTTCATGATCTGTCAGGATGTAACACTTGCTCCCAAAAACATGGAAATACTTCACAGTTGGTTTCCTTCCTTTCCATAGTTCATACAGAGTGGAGGAAGTTCCTTTTCTCAAGGTGACTATGTTGTGAACATAGCAGACTGTGTTCATTGCCTCAGCCCAAAAGTGCATAGGCAATTTCTTTGCATGAATCATGGCTCTACCAGATTCTTGAATAGTCCTATTTTTCCTTTCCACTACTTCATTTTGTTGAGGAGTAATAGGTGATAGTCTTAAATTATACTGTTTATTTGACTCGATTCCGCGCACGTTATTTAGTATTTTATTTCTGTTTTCTTGTATTATGCCTTTGTTTTGTTTCTTTTTCAGGTTTTTGTATTTTCAAAGCTACTCGAGAAGAAATGAAGAAAAAACGATCTAAAAACCTTACTTTCTAAGGAAATGTACACATGGTTTCCACCATGGCGGGCGCCATAGGGGATGCCACACATTGGATACAAGCCAACTGCTGACAACTGCTACGTCTCCCACTCCTTTTCACCCTAGTTCATGTGGCGGGCGCCACCTTCACACGACCATTTCCCTCCCAAAAGGAGTTGGGGGCATTCCTGTCTTTACCTGTACTTTCCTACCTCTATAAATAGAAGAGTTCTGATTCATTTCAAATCATCCAAGCTTAGAGAACAGAACTCAAGCCATAAATTTCACCTATTGTAAAGTGATAAACTTCTCACATCGAGGGGTTATCACATCGTGTAATCGAGTTTGGAGCACTTGGGTAGAAGTTAAACATGCTGCCATTTTAATTCAATCTTTTTACTTCCAGTTGTTCAAGATTTTAAAGCTTCTCGTTTAGAGCAGGTTTCTGTCTATTTATTGCCTTTTATTTATTTACCCGCCTTTATTTCATGTACCCTTTATTTCCCGCACCGTTTATTTCTCGCACCGCACTTTATTTATTTACTTACTCGCACTTTATTTACTCGCATTTGTTAACCATGTCCGGCTAAATCTTAAGGTCTAGGATGTGAGGTTTATAGTTATAATTAGTATTTCACACGGTTGTCAGTAGAATTACTTAGGGGTTATTTTAACTTTTAACACTTATTTTCTGAACTTAAAATCTGTAGGGTAAGATCGAAAGTCGTCCAACCTTTAGATAAATTTGGTTAGTCTTGATTGTTCCAAGGAATCGAAAGCGCTTGGCTTCGTTCGCTAGGGTGTAAAATGTGAATGAATTAATTGATGACGAAATAAAATATTTAGAGTTTACATCTCAATTTCTAGAAAAATCGTGGGAACACAACCGAGGTAAAAATTAGATTTAATATATTTAAGTAAAATATTAATCAACATTTCATGTCAGTTTTGTAGAAAATCGCAGGATAAAATTTAAGAGCGTCATTTTGATTATAAATAAAACACAATTGTAGGAGCTGGAAATCGAAGCTCAAACTCTAAACTACATTTTCAATCAATTTTCTTCATAACTAAAGTATAAGATTTTCTTTTTTCTTTTTAAAATAAAATGGCGTGTTCCAAATCATTTTACATAAGCTTTTTATCGACCGAGGTGAAAGTTTTGTCAAAAGATATATTATTTGCAGTAGTGTCATCTGACTCTCCCATCTTTCAGCAGTCATATGAACCTCATACCAAGACGACGTTTCCTACACCACACATCTAATTTTTTATTTGATATATCATTTGCAAATAACTAATTATCTCTCAATTTTACTTACCGGTTCAATTTCAACATTATATATTTAGTTCAACTTCAACTTTGAAATTCAAAAAAATTGATCGAGATTGTCATGTGGTATCTCTCAATTTATTTATTTAAACCGTAGATACCATATACAATGTCGTAAAATTGATCGAGAATAATGATAAATTATAGATTCTATTGTTTTACATTCTTTCTCTTTATGTCTCCTAAATTGTCTCGTTAGATCAAAACGTTTGAATCTAGATATGACAAATCATATTATAAAAAGAAAACGACGTGAAGAATTAACATATTTTCAAATAGAAATTCTTGATAAATTTCTTTTAAAAAATCCACAAATTTCTAATGAAAATTGTAGCTTTTAAAAATGTGATTACTGATGAAAATATAGAGAATGAAAGCGTGGATTCGTAAAATAGAGATGAGGTACCATTGAAAATCAAAATTTATACATTTATGAAAAATCTAATTTTTATTTGAGATGATTTATATCTAGTACACGATAAGAGTAAGTTGTTCATCAAAGATAACAAATTCATTTTTTATTAATGCCATGTCTGTAAACAAAAGGAATACATCAACCCATGATACCAAGAATAAAGAAACACACATGTCAAATAGACAAACTTATTATCATAAAATACAACATAACAATAGACAACTTCCATAGTACAACATTGCCAACCTCAACTAGCTGCTCAAAGGGTTCATCTATTTTCCTTTAAATAAGAAATCACCTTTTCAAAACCAATCTCCAATATCCACATCTAATGCGTCCCTAATCCAAATCAGATGGATAACATTCAGCACAAACAAATCCTAAATCCTGCATTCTCATGGCTTTTTCAAAAGCTATGCCCACACATTCAGGATGGAACCTACAAAAAAAAAAATGAAATGTTTCTTTCATAAGATCTATAGCAACATAAAGTAGTTCAACAAACCAAACAGAATTACTCCTCAGATGCTTCATAAATTCAACAAATATTTTGTAATGAATGAATGTATAATGGCAGATAGATTCGATTAGATCATAGAGAGTTTAACCATGTTCAACATAAGTAAACCCTAGCATTAATTCAGTATTAAATATACCTAAAACTAAAATTCAATTTACCTTTCACCGCATGTCTCACACTTCGCCATAAACCTATCTGGGTTATAAGGCATTTCACATTTACAATACCTTCAAAACACAAGCAAAATCAACAACTTTTAATCGAAAAAAATTAATATAATTCTCTTAGACAAAAAAAAAATAAAAACCAGTGTTAAAACTTACACATGAACAAGACGAGGTTTAAAAGCCCCGGTAGCAACCTTGTAGCGAAACCTACAAAAGTAATCTTCAGCACCTACAGTCGCAAGCTTAGTGTATTTCTTCAAAGAGTACACATAATACTTCCCTTCAATGGTGTCAGCACGATGAACATCATAATGATCAGACAAAAACAGCTCCTTATCTCCATGAAACGATCTGCGTCCTCCGATCGCTTCTTCCGGTCGATAGTACCATCGAACACGGACCCTCTTGCCGTTCATGTCATCATGCTCGATCTTCTCCACACGAGCCATGATCGGCTTGCTCACTACGGTTGGGCGTAGCGAAACACAGTCTCCAGCTGCAGAAAAATCGAAAAATGAAAATTTACGTCAACCATATTGAAATGGTTTTGAAGCGTTTACTTGAGTCTCTTCGCAAGAGAAACGATCTTGAATTACCTCTAACGATCTTGTTGGTGCCTCTGATTGTGTATGTGTCCTTACTGCTTTGCCTTGTTGTCGGCATTGTGTAGGGTCACTATAGCTTCTGTGTCAAGAGAGAGAAGCTGCGCTAGGGCAAGAGAAATGGTAAAGTTATATTTATATTTATAATACAGAGTTAAAGATAAGTTATTGGATTAAATATATAATTAAGATAATTATAATTATAATTATAATCTTCTACAGTAATTTTTTTACATATAAAATAAAATAAACATTCTACAATTATTTATTATAATAAATAAAGTAATAAAAAGTAACTATTAGTAAGGGTGGTGCATGAATTTGTGCAGCATGAGGTGAATTATAAAGATTAATAATATCTTTAATTGTGAAGGATTATATTGATGGAAAACTTATACCTTAAGAAAAAAGATATTTTTTTGATAAATTAAATAACTAATATAAAAAATAAATTTAGATAAATTAAATAATTGAGTATTTAAAAATATATACATTAGATGCATTGTTTGTTCAATGATATAAATTTTTTTATAAATAAAATCAAATAGAATATAATTGTTAGAGAGTTGTTTAATTTAATTTTATAAAATTGTTTTTTTTTTGTTTTTAAAATTTAAAAATAATAAAATAATTTGATAATATAGTTTTATAAAATTATTTCTAAAAATTATTCTCTATTTATGAGTTTAAAAAATTCAAAAACTAAAATATATTTTAGAGATTTTAGGTTTTAATTTTGAAAATTAAGGAGAGAAAAAATAAGAAAAAGAGATGAAATTTTTATTAATGACAATTTTCTAGTATTTTGCAACTTTTAAATCTATCAAACAATTCTATTCTTTTTTTCATCTTTAAAATAGTTTTCAAAAATAAGATTATGGAATATGTGTTTTTTTTTTCTTCAAAATAGTTTTTTTAAATAGATTTATAAATTAATTTTTTAGAACTAAAAACTAAAACTCGTTCAAATAAATTCTAAGGACCTGTTTGATTTGAAATTGAGAAGAAAAAAAAGAAAAAAGAATTATACACCTTTTATTAATGAGAAATTGTAATATTGTACAACTTTAAAATAATTTTTAAATATATGATTACTAAACATGTTTTTTTTTATAATTCTTTTTTACAAGTTTTTTTACAAGTTATTTTTTCAAAATTTGATTTAAAAAATAGATTTAAAAAATTAAAAACTCAAACTCATTTTGTTCTAGCCTGGGCCCGGCTTGGCCAGGCAGACCCATCCCAATAATATCCTGCCAAGTCCAGTCTAGCTTGGGTCACTACCTCCGAGCACAAGGTCCCCGGCGGGTAGGTAATGCCCATCCGCGGGCAGAACCTGCCCACCTATGTCGAGCGTAAGACTCCCATCACCAGACACTGTCCTCTCCGCGGGCAGGACCTGCCCCCCACGGGCAGAACCAGCTCTCCTGTCGGGCAGGGCGACGTGTCCTTCACACGTTCTCCACGTGCTCCCCTCCACGGGGACACGTCACCGACCAACTGCCCACCTCCGAAAGAGCAGGTCAAACCCACTTTCCGGAGATCACGGGACAGTTGGACTAGGGCAAAGACCATGTCCTGGTCTTCACTACGCCACGTAAGTCCTAGCAGTCACCTGGGTTGGGCCTGACAATCCAGCCTAACGCAAGTGACCGTTGGCCCAGCGCTGGGGTCTCTCTATAAATACCCTCTTTCACAAAAGGGTCAGGTAATTCACTTCTGACCTATTTTCTGTACTTGTGATCACTCTGCTCATACGCTTACTTTAGCATCGGAGTGCCTTGCAGGTACACCCCCTCCTCTTCTTTAACACCGGTGAACAGGCAACCAGTCGAAGACGCGTGGTAGCCCGTGATCCCCTTCTGATCAGGTCAGATCACATTCAAATAGATCTTAAGACTCGTTTGATTTGCTTTTATAAAACTGTTTTTTAGTTCTTGAAATTTATAAATAATTAAATTTATTTGGTAGTCTAATTTTACAACACTATTTTGGAAAAATAGTTTTAATTTAACGGTTTTAAAAATTAAAAAACTAAAATAAATTTTAGGAGTCTGTTTAAATGAATTTTAATTTTTAGTTTTTAAAAATTATTTTATAAATCAATTTTAAGATATAGTTTTGAAAAAAAATAAAAACATTAAAAAAAATGTTTCAAAGTTTTAGTTTTAAAAACTATTTTAAAGTTAAATAATATTACAAATTTGTCATTAATAAAAAGTATATCAATTTTTCTTGTTTTTTCTTCATTCTAATTTTCAAAACTAAAAATCAAAACTCAAAACCTATAAAACATATTTTAAATTTTTTATTTTTAAAATTCTTAAATAAAGAATAGTTTTCAAAAATAAATTTTTAAAATTAAACTATCACATAAGTTTTTTTAATTTTTAAATTCTAAAAACTAAAAATTAATCTTATAAAATTGAATCAAATAATTTCCTAATTTGATGATGAAGAGTGCCCCAATAGACGAAAAAATTGGATGAAATTGCATAGATTTACACACATTAAATTGAGAAGGATCATAATGACAAAATTGTAGTTTTATGATTAGATTCGAACTCATTACATTTATTTAAACCAAAAGATATGTGTGAAATGTCATCCAATTGTTTTTGGATTTAAAAAACTCTTAGCTATGAGATTTCAAACACAACTTAAAGTCATTAGATTTATCAAATTTTCAAGTCCACCGTGCACTAATTTTAGATGATGCGAATATGTAGTACATTGTATCTTGTTGTCATACCTCAAATTTGTCTTACCTGTATAATATTATCTTCGTTGGTGCTTCTGTTTACTAACCCGATTAAAAAATTCAAATATATGTGTCTATTGTTTCTTTTTTTTTCTTGTTCAGAGCTCAGGTATTGCAAAATTGAATCTAGGTTCATTCAAGGCTATTGGACAAGCATGTGTATAGTAATGGTTGACATTCAAGTAAGTTTGACCTAATCTTGGTCAAACAAAATGTTTGCTTCAGTATCAAGTTATAAGGTTGTGTTAAATTCAAATTGTTCATGGTTAAGAATCATATGGATCCAGTTCACTTTTTAATTAGAGTTTTGGTGCAATTACAGTGAAGTTCACATATCAAGTCATAATTTCAAAGCGTTCTTGCTAAAAAGGTTTAAGGTGAAAGTTTTGGTTTATCAAGATACAAGTAGCTAAGTTCAAAATTTTTTCATCTGTGGTTCTTCATGTCATCCAAGAATTGGTTCAATGTCTGAGTTTATTTGTCTCAAGATTATTTTTAAATGAAGAATTCAAGAGGAAAAAATTGATTTCAAGTGCGATTCTTAGATTCAATACAAGCGTGGTATCAACATGAAGGATTTAACTTTTAATGGTCAGGATTTTCAATCAAGGAATTCAAAGTTCAAGCATGGTTTAAAAATTGAAATGAAGGGTGCAAAAATCAAATTTTAAATTCCCATTCTAAAAGTCCATTACATTTCAAGCCAAAAATTACCATTCATACCAAGTTTTACAAAGATGACAAAAGTTCGTGAAAAAAAAGGCAAGGTCCATTCTCATTATGAAGTCCAATACATATTACATTGCAAAAAATATCATTACAAAGCCCATGACTTGATTCACAAAATTACAGAAAAAAAAAATGAGGAACAAGTGGTGATATCCATGACACGGATAAGCAAATGATTTCCAAGCTGCAAGTTTCTAAGCAAGCCATCAACACAAAATATCCCAGCCATGAAGTCAGCTTCCTTCACGTAAGCTAGCCACCAACAAGATCACTCCCAAGCCATTTACAAACACAAGAAACCTGCAAAGCTATTACACAAAACTTCAGCTTCAAACCACACTGCTGCAGCGACTACACATCACAATTCATAAGCCAACATCTACCTTTCCAAGTTGACTATGCACACGCCAAAACAAAACCAGCTACAAAACCATTCAAGCCATAACAATTTCAACCCAAGCCAAAAACGAGATCAATACGACCCCATACAAAATACTCAATGCAGATTTCCAACCAAACCATCACGTTACACACACCAGGCGCAGAAGCTTCCAAATACGCACCTACATCCTACGCACATGATCAAAGCACAATTCCAAAATGCAAAACAAATTCACGAAACAACCTACACAAGCTAAAACGACAATGTCTCAACATCATTCTTATTTACTCTATAAATACCAAGAAATTCTCCATTCATTCTCAAACTCTTATGAGCCAAGAATACCCTCCCATTTTTTTCATCCCCACACCTTCAAATTCAGAACCCACAACCTCAAATCACAAACCCAACAAAAAAAACAGAATAGAGAGAGACGAGACGCAAGAGGAGAAGAATACAACGTAGAATTCATAACTGAACGTCTCTAGTTCGTTTCTTCCTCACTAATTTGAAGGTGTAACTCTATTTCATTTCCTTTTGCATCTGTGAGCAAGAACCGTGCAAATTTGTTTATGAATTTGAACAAAGAGATGGCGACGGCCAAGGGGTAGCGTCGCAACCGCCGCAGCTGTCGCGACGGTGTTTGTGTGCACAGGGCATTGCGTTTAGAGAAGAAGGAAGAGGTGTGTTTTGATTTATTTTGTTTTTATGTTGAACCTTGCTTTTTAAAATTGATGTGTCTTGCTACTATGGGCCTTAGAGCCTGTGCTGATATTGTTGACCCACACACACTCCAAATCTAGCGTTATACCCCATCCCTCTATTTTATTCTTTTTTTCTTTATTCTTCTTTGGTTTTATTTTTTTAATTTCTGTAACAATTTTTGTTTTATGTAGTTTTTTTTTATTATTGCTAAGGTTAAAGATTATTATTGATCTTTTTTATCTTTATATTTTTGTTTTCATTTCGATTTTTTTTTATGTTGGTCAATGAAATCTAAATATCATAGAATATTGGTTTTCAAGTATGTTTAATCTTCATTATTTTAAACATGAGGTTGAATGATCATTGAAATTATTCTCTACACTTAGAGATAGTGATAGGTTGTCTTTGATTAATCGATGAAAATTCTTGATTAAGATGAGATTGTTCTCTTTTTCTTTTCCTGTGGCATATCATTAGAATAATG